CCCAAGCAGAGCCCCCAGCAGCCACTTGCTTCCACAATCCAAAATTGCCGCCACACCCCCAGCCTGACTCCACCATCTCAGGATGGAATTCACCAAGATATAATCTGCTGAAAATTCTGTAATGTAGACCTTAGCGCACCAACAGCCCTGACCTAGAGACACAGCAGCAAGTCCTGGAAGACACCACAGCACTGGAGATCTCTCTGGGTCCCATACTGATCCAATTTCACCAGAGCAGCCCAGATGGTGCAGGTGCAGTCTCCCCACCTACTCCAGATGGAATCCCGGTGACCAAGAGCTTCCACAAGCAAAGCCCAGGTATGCGGGTTTCAAGCCTGAATCTGCCACATGGAAGTAAAGGACCTGGGCTGTCCCTCCCTGGGTCCTGACTGCCCAGCAGACTGGCTGTCACACCCACAATTTACCTCCGGGTGCCATCTTAGCGCACCAAAATCCCTGGCCTAAAGACACAGCAACAAGTCCCACAAGACACCACAGCACCGGAGATCTCTCCGGGCCCCATACCGAGCCAATATCACTGGGACACCCCAGATGGAGCAGGTGCAGTCTCCCCACCTACTCCAGATGGAATCCCAGTGACCAAACAAGCTCCCCACCCCCAGTATGCATGTTCCAGGACTAAATCTCCAGGCCACATGGTGGCAGAGGACCTGGGCATCCCCTTCCAGTGTCCCCCCCACCCCAACCCAGCAGACTGGCTATCATGCCCACAACTTGCCTCTGGGCGCCATCTTAGCGCATCAACAGCCCTGGCCCAGAGACTCCCGATTTAATCCCAAAATAGATTAGTGCCATACAGAGATGTCTCTGGAACCCAACCATTTACAATCTAGAAATTTACATTTATAATCGCGGCTGTGCAAGCTCTCTTGATATTCAAAATGATCAATAGAAAATAAATTATCTTGCGTCTGCCCCTGGCAAGTAGACTTAAATGGTGGTGGGAAATTTTGAGCAAAACATAATGCCCAAAACGAGAGAGAGAGTATTGGGGAAATTGTCTGCCACAGAGGCAGGGTGAGGATGGGGATGTGGGTGGTGGAAGGTGTGCACTGGTGGGGGGATGGGTGTTTCATCATTGTATGGCTGAATCTCAAACATGAAAGCTTTGTAACTCTATCTCGCGGTGATACAATTAGAAAAAGAAAAAGTAAAAACAAAAACAAAAAACCCACACATGCAAAAAACAAAACCAAAAGAAAGTATGCTGGGGCCAGAGAGTACAGGGGTTAAGATTCTTGTCTTGTATGCGCCTTGCCCTGGTTCAATCCCCAACACCCCATAGTATCATCTGAACCCTGCCAGGAGTGATCCCTGAGCACAGAGCCAGAAGTAAGCCCTGAGCACTGCTTACTGTGGCCCCAAAACAAAAAACAACAACAAAACCCCACAAAGAGAGCCAGGCCTAGGGGGTGTGGCTCACAGCAGAACAGGGTTTACATGTGTGACAACCTGGGTTCAACCCCCAATACCACACATACACACACACATACACACACACACACAAACACATACAAACAAGCATGGTATCACTGTATCACTGTCATCCTGTTGTTCATCGATTTCCTCAAGCAGGCACCAGTAAAGTCTCCATTCGTCCTAGCCCTGAGATTTTAGCAAGAGCCACATTGGAGGCTCCTTCAGGGTGAGGAGAATGAGACCTATCATTATTACTGGGTTTTGGCATATCTAATATGCCACAGGGAGCTTGCTAGACTCTTCCATGTGGGCAGGATACATTTGGTAGCCTGTTGGATTCTCCAAGAGTGAGAACTAGACAATAAGAGGTCTACATTTGTGGCCGCATGCTTCCAGGAGCTGGGTTTTATAGTCCCTGGGTCTTGGCCATTGATGGGACAACACAGCACCGGGGGCAGTTGGTGGGTGTAACACCTAGCTACTGGAAGATGAAGGATCTGGGTGGAGGAGGCACAGTCCCGATCCGAGCAGGCTTGGAGATCTCAGCCCCGGGTTCTGCACACCTGGGTTCCTCTGCCGGTTCCTTCATGTATGAGGCTCGTCCAAACATGTGGTGAGTGGTCTAAAGCATGGCTGTGGCTGGTTTCGGAGGTCTTCAGCTGCCGGGGCTCTGCTCAGGGCGGAGAGAGAAATTCAACCCGCCCTCCTCCAAGGGGCCCTGGTGAGGACAGCCAGGTGCGGGGGCAGGAGACTCTGCTGTTCTCTTCCGGGAGCTGGGTTTTATAGTCCCTGAATCTTGACTGTTGATGGGAAAGCATGGCTCCAGGACAGTTGGTGGGTGTAATGCCTCCCCACTGGAAGATGGGGGATCTGGGTGGAGGAGGCCCCGTCCTGGTTCGAGCAGCCTTGGAGATTTCAGCCCCGAGTCCCGGGTCCTGGGAAATGGTTGTAGCCCAAATGGGTCCAAGGGACCCATGAGGATTAATGTATGGCCTCAGGGAGTGGCTCAAGGGGCCAAGTGCACCCTGTCCACCACAGGATCCCCAGCACTGCCTGCAGTGACCTCCAGGCACCTCGCCAGGAGTATCCCTGAGTGCCTCTGCATGTGATCCCCTCAAAAACCAAGAGAAGTGAAGTGAGATCCTGAATGGGGGCTGGGAACAGGAAGAGGACTGTAGGGAAAGAGTGAGGGTGGGGTGCTGGACCCTAAGTGGGAGCAACATGGCATCATCCACGGGACAGTGAGCCCCGGTCCTGGGGGAGGGGACAATGAAGGCCTATCCCCCAGGCCATTTCCCTAGATGTGGCTGGGTCCCAAGGACAGAGGTGGGTGTCCTGAGCTGGGGGAGAAAATCCATCTCTGTCCAGACTGAGTCTGGCTGACCTTCGGGTCAGGGACACTCCTGGCGGCTCCTGGTCAGCCCTCCAGGGGTGTCCTACCTGCCCATCAGTCCACTTCTGGTCGGAACTGCTGGGGTGTGGGACCGAGAGAGGAGAGGGGGTGGGGCAGAGTGATCGTAGGACAGGTGGGGTGTTGTTGGTCCTGCATGTACGTGAGCTGCTGGGGTTCGATCCCCGGCACCCCATAGGGTCCCCTGAGCACCACCAGGAACGATTCCCGAGTGCAGAGCCAGGAGTCACCCCTGAACATCGCTGGGTTTGCCCCCGCCCCCCCCCAAAAAAAAGGAAAAAAAGAGAGAGGGAAAGAGGACAATGGGAAAGAAAGAGGGGTTGGGGGGAGAGAGCAGGGGAGATACAGGGAGGAGGGTCCCACAGAAGATAGGGGTTACATCATGTCAGGGAGCACTTGGAGGGTTTCAAGACAAGACACCTGGTGGTGTGGAGCCGCGCGGTGCCCGTTGGGGTTCTCCGGCCGTGCCCAGTCCCTGCTGCCTTGCCAGCGGCTGAGTCACTGCTCCGTCTGCCCTGAGTCAGCAGCAGGTGGTCTTGGGGGACAGTGGGTCAGCACGGTTGGCAGCACCCCTCCCCTGGGCGCCCGCTTCCTTTCTTGGGGGTCTGCCCGGGCTCACCCAGGGCACCTGGAGGAGACGACGGGGGCAGAGGGGGAGTGGCGGACAGCGGCCGCGCAGGGCACGGGGGCAGCTGGGCCTGGCATGGGGACAGGCGGGTTGGCAGTGGGCGTGTGTGGCCCGGAGCCCGGGCACTGGGCAGAGCTGCTGCTCCCAGCCCCACGGCCCTGGTGCCAGCCGGCCGCGGGCGGGTGGGCACGGGCAGGGCAGGCGGCCAGGCGCACACAGAGCGGCCTTTGAGGAGGTGCAGCTGTTGGCGCAGTCCCCTCTCCTTGCTGTGGCCTGGCCTGCCCCCGCAGAGGGGCCCTGTGAGCACTGGGCTGTGACAGCCGAGGGCACGAGGGGGGACTCTGCTCAGGGACCCAGGGGTGACCAGGTGTGGGAGCCAAACTGGGATGCCTGTCAGTCTCCCTGCTCCTGCCATTGCAGGTGGTCACTGCTGGTCCGTCCTGGAGAATGGCCAAGGTGACCCCACAGGCTACCACCGCGACTTGAGGCAGGGGACTGGCTGGGGTTCTGGAGAAAGCGTCTGTCACCTGAGCTCTGGCTCCCAACTCCCCAACCCTGACAGAGGATCCCCTGAACCTGGGGGCTGGAATATTCTGTTTGTCCTGGGATCCCCCAAGATTCTCGGCTGCCGGCCAGCCTGTAACAGGCCGTTTCTGCCGTTGGCAGGGCTGACTCTGGAGAACTGGCCCCACCTCTGGGCCTGGCACCTGGTGGGCTGAGGCTGTCTCCACCTTTCCTGTCCTTTGCCCCAGAAGCGCCCAGCTGTTGGCGCAGTCCCCTCTCCTTGCTGTGGCCTAGGGGCGGGGATCAAGCCCGGGTTCTGCCTGGCACTGATGGGCCCCACTGGGACGGGGAACTCCAGTCCAGAAAGGACAGTGCTCGGTCACCATGTCAGCCGGACAGTCAGGCACCTGAGAAACTGGGGGTGCTCACGTTGGTATCTGAGCTGCCGCTGGCAGACACTCTGAGAAGGGCTTTGGGAGTCAGAATTCCGGCCCCCCACCCATGCTAGTCTGGTTCCAAGTGTCCCAGTCGGGTTCCCAGGCTGGTCGGTCGATGCCCTTCTGGGGTGGGCAGTGGGGGGCTGCAGAAGCAGGCTGCAGAGCCCTGGGCACGGGTGAGCGGCGCGGAGGGTGCTCTCTGAGCTTCCAGCGGGGGCCCGGGGAGTTCAGGACCCCCCTCCAAAAGCCTCTAATGGCCTTCAGCGGGGGTCGGGACCCCTGGGCAGGCCCCCCCTTCCCCCACTCCCGTCTCCCCTCCACCCAGCACGCAGGCGGGGCAATGCGGGGTGCGGCTCTGGCCTGCAGCACCGGGCTGGGGGTGGGGGGTGGGGGTGCGCCCGCAGCAGCGCACGCGGCCACCGGACGTGTGTCCACCACCCTCCCCGCCCCCCGCAGGGCGGCCCGGGAGCTCGGCCACCCGCCGCGTTGGGCCGACAGAAAACGGCGGGGTCCGGGGTCCTCGCCTTTAACGGGCCGCGGCGGGCGCGGGCGGGGCGGCGGCGGCGCATGCGCGGCGGCGCGGGCGGCCGGACAGTCCGGCGGCGGCGGCGGCGGCGGCGGCGGCGGCGGCGGCGGCGGCGCCGGGAGCAGGAGCCGCGGGAGCCCCGAGAAGCCCCCGCGCGCCCGGCCGGGGCGCCGCGGCCACCATGTCCGTGCCGGTGAGTCCGCGCCGGGGGCGGGCCGGGGCGCGCGGGGCCGGGGGCCGCGGGGGGCCGGGGGTCGCGGGCGTCCCCATCGCCGCCCCCCCGGCCCGGCTCTGTCCTCCCTGCTGCCCCCGAGGGCCGGGTCGGGCCGGACGCCGGGCCGGCTCCTTGGGGGACCCCCCGGATCCCCCGCAGACCCCCGCCGGGAGCTGGGGTTGGCGCGGGGACGGGGCTTTGTTGGCTCGGGACACTCCGGGGACAGCTGGGCCTGGGAGGAGTCGCCGCCGTCCCCCCCCCCGGCCCTCCTCCCCCACCAGGACGGCCAGGCCCGACGCTGGCCGGGGCAGCGGGGCGCCCTGGGATGCCCCCAAGACCCCCGGGTGGCCGGGCCTGGGGCGGGGGGCTGCGCCTCCCATCCGGCCCCCTCCCCCTGGACGCTGGCGGGCTGGGTGGGCATCCCGCGCCCGCCCCTCCAGGAGGGCTGATGGCCCGGGACGTTTGCCTGGGCCGCTGGACCCCGGGTGGCCGCTGCCCCGCGTCCCCCCCACCCCCCAGTGCCGGGGCGGGGTCCTCTGCGCTCGGGACCACCCCCCTGGACTCGGCCAGCACCCCGGGGCCGCACGCTGCCAGCAGCCGGCTCCTGCGTGCCCCCGAGGGCGGCTAGCGGCCGGCTGACCGCTCCGCAGCCCACTTCGCAGATGGACACACTGAGAGGGGGTGTCGGGGCCGCCCCCTGCAGGCGGCGGAGCCCAGGCCGTGGCCATTGTCCCTCCGCCGGAGCGAGGAGGCCCCCCCTGCCCGGTGACCGGAAGGGACGGCGGCGCCCGGCCTCGGCGGGGACCCCCCAGCCGCCCGCGCCCCCGCGGCCCCCTAAGGACGCGCCGGCCCCGAGACGCTGTGTCAGGGCTGAGCGTGGTGATTATGGAATTAGAGCTCGCGGCTCGCGCCCGCCCCCAGAAGCCCTAATGCCGAGTTACAGATGGAAAAATTAGGGCTTGCGGGCCCTGCTGGTGCGAGCCGCGCCCCCCGCCCGCCCGGGTTCCGCGCGTAATTGCCTCATCTTCAGAGGGAAGCCGGGGGATGCGTGCCAAGCCCTCCTCCTCCCCCTGCTCGCCCGGACACCCAGCGCCGGGGGTCCTGCGCCTGCCGCCAGGGTGGGGCGTGGCACGGAGCCCTGGGCCCTGAGTCGGGGCGGCTCGCGCCTCTTGCCTTCCAGGACCCTAGTAGGGGCCATCCACACCCTTGCCTTCCAGGACCTGAGTCGGGCTGCCTGCACCCCTTGCCTTCCAGGACCCTAGTAGGGGCCACCTGGGCCCCTTGCCTTCCAGGACCCGAGTAGGGGCCACCCACGCCCCTTGCCTTTCAGGACCCGAGTAGGGGCCACCCACGCCCCTTGCCTTTCAGGACCAGAGTAGGGGCCACCCACGCCCCTTGCCTTCCAGGGCCCGAGTCAGGACCACCTGCGCCCCTTGCCTTCCAGGACCTGATTCGGGGCCACCCATGCCCCTTACCTTCCAGGACCCAAGTAGGGGCCACCTGAGCATCTTGCCTTTCAGGACCCCAGTCAGGCCGCCCTCACCCCTTTCCTTCCAGGACCCCAGTCAGGCCGGCTGGGCCCCTGCCTTCGTGGACCAGGGGTTCCCTCTCTGGCGCCCTGAACTCGGTAGTGCAGGGGCTTCTGGAGGGCAGGACTACGACCCTGCTGTGGTGGCCTTCTCCGTGACCAGTTTGCATGGCCTCGGCCAGATTCTGCTGGGGGGTCTTCTTGCTGCCCCTGCTCCCGTGGGTTGGTTTGTGGAGGGAGGGGAAGGGTCGTTGGGGGCTGGGGGGGGAGACTTCGAGCCCTGCACCCCAGGCTGAGCTGCTGTGGGGGTGCTCGGGCACAGCTGCTGGCCTGGGAGCGGACGGGAGCAGAGGAGGAAGGAAGGGGTCCGGAGTGGCCAGGTTGAGAGGAAGTGGGGGGACCCTCGTGTGACCCCTGTAATGCCCAGGATCAAGAGAGACAGCACACTGGAGCCTCCCGAGCCCCTGGCCATGCCCTGACTTCTGTCTCCGCCTGGGCTGAGGGCTGTTGCACAGGGTGTGGGGAGGCTTGCACTGCCCCAGACTCCGAGCTCAGGAGTCACTGCTGCGGGGCTCAGGGGACCGTAGGGGGTGCCAGCAAGATAAGTGTCTTACCCCGTGATCTCTGGGCCCATGGGGTCTGTGCCTGGGAGCTGTAAGATGCTGGCTCCGCAGCGCTGCCCGGGGAGAGGCCATCCCGCAGTGCTGAAGTTCCCTGCGGTTTCCGCCTCTGACTTCCCGTCTGTGAAATGGGCATAGCCACTCTTGCAGGGCACGGGAGTTGGCACTCCTGTATGTATGGAGCACGCTCTGGGCCGGGCTCTTTGGGCAGGCAGAGGACCTTTGTCTTGCCGGCTGTGAGGGCCACTGAGCGAGAAGCCCAGTGGGCCAGGAAGGAGCTCGGCAGGCTGTGTGGCCTCTCCAGCGGGGGACTGCAGCCGTCCACAGGCTGTGGCTGCTGGGGGACCCACCCGCTGCTTCTGGCTTTCCAGGCATGAATTTGTAGGTCCCTGTGGGCACCTACAAGGCAGCTGGCACTCCCGGAGGCCAGGCAGCCTGCCCGGAGCTGGGCAGCAGGGTGGGTCTAGCCGTGAGCGCCCGCTCCTGCCACGGTGGGCGGGGATCGTGGCCCTGGTGTGGCCTCCACCTCCACGTCTGCCAGCCTCCCGGAGCGTGCTCTGTGCCAGCCTCCGGCTTGCCCACTCTGTGACGGGCGGCTGGTGCGGCTGCCAGGCCGTGGGCAGTTGGGCCTGGCAGAACAGGCTCACAGAGGAACAGTGGCCCCGTCCAAAGTCCTCAGTTCAGTCGCCAAGGAGCCTGCCCGGCCCTGCCACCCCCTCCCTGCCCAGCCTGTCCAGCTGCTGCTTTGCTCACTGGGTCACCCCGGCCCCTGAGGCAGGGCACACCGCCCCAAAGCCCTCGGCTCTCTGGAGGCCTCTCCCAGGCCCGGGGCTGAGGGGTGTCACCAGTGTCCCCGGACCCTCTTTCTCTATGCCAGCGGCTCACCCTGGCTGCCCCCTGCGCCACCCACCCGTAACAGTCAGGTGCCCCCAGCGGCGAAGGCCCAGGAGCGGTTGCAGGTGGCTGGAGCTGAGGGTGGGCAGGGCAGGGCAGAGAGCTGCTGGGGGCTGAGGGGGGCAGTGTGATACCGGGGTCTGCATCTGCTGGTCCCCAAGCCATGTGCCGGACTGGGGCTTATGTGCATGGTCACGGGGAATGTCCACGCAGGCAGGACGTGGCCACCGGCCATGTGCTGCAGTGCCAGCGCCCTCCTCTCCCCTGAGGGCCTCCTTGGTTATCACCGTTTGCTGTTTATTTTTGTTGCTTGGTTTGGGTTTGGGCTGTGCCCTCGGGACTCGGGTGCCGGGCTGGGAGCCTGGCCCGACCCGCCACACTCTCCCTTTCCGCCCACCAACTCTCACTGTGCCACGCCCCACGGAGGACGTGGGAGAGCGCAGAAGATGCAGGAAACATGGGACCGTCCGAGGCCAGCATGGGCCGGCCCGGGGGACGGAGGCGGGGAGGGCCGTTCCGGAGAGCGCGCAGGGCACCGAGGGCATCACGCCTCCTGTCGGTGCCACATAGCGATCTCAGGGCTGGGTTTCTCTGGGCCTGCGGCAGATTTCTGCCTGTAGTGAAACGGATGTCGGGGTGGTCATGACGAACCTAGACCCATATAATGGTCGCCTCAGAAAGCTCGTGCCCCCACCCGGTGAGCCCCGCATGCCCATGCCTGGCAGAGCAGCCAGCCTTTTCGTCCTCACGCTTTCTGCAGGGGAAGCCTCGAGGGGGCCTCCCCGGGGCCCTTTGTTCTGCGTGTGGTTGGTGTGGTGGTGGCCCTCGGGTGCGCTTGTCCCGTGTGTTTCACGGAGCGGTCAGGATTGGTGCTGAGGGTTCAGAGCTTGTCTGGCACCTGCGCTCGACCCTCTCACCCCAGAGGGTCCCCTGAGCCCCACCCGGAGTGATCCTGAGCACCACCAGGTGTGGCTGAAAAACCAAAAAAAAAAATGTTGGCGGTTTAGCTGTTGGCCTCCTGCCGGACATGACTCCGGCTTCTGGGCACTCTCCGTGTTTCTCTTCAACACTGTTGTACGAGTGATGGTGACACACGGGCTTGGTGGCAGTGACAGGGTGGGGGGGGTGTGGGGATAGAGGAGAGAGAAAGAGAGGGAGAGAGACAGGGAGAGAGAGGGGGAGGGGGAGGGGGGAACCAGGAGGAGAGAGAATACCTGGAGGTGTGGGGAGCAGTCTGTACCCCCCATCCTGGGTCCCCCGAGTTTGTGCCGGCTCGGGAGGGGCGCAGCAGGGTCCGCCGTGCTCTGCGGGCGTCTGAGTTCTTTCTGCTGCCTGTGAGGGGCTCACCCAGAACTGCATCCCCTGAGCTTCAGGGAGAAGCGGCCAGGGGAGAAGGGGTGAAGGGGCGAGAGCCGGTGCCTCCCCACACCCCACCCCCCTCAGTCCTCTCGGATTCCTGGGCTCCCTTCGGGGTCCCGTACCCGGCGCTGCTCTCCACCCCGGCTGGTCTCACCGTTCCTGACTTTCTTTCAAGTCTTTAAGGTAAAAGGTAAAGGCCCTCCCATTGATCATCGATTTGCTCGAGCGGGCCCAGTAACGTCTCCATTGGAGACTTTGTTGTTACTGTGTCTGGCATATCGAATACTCTCGGTAGCTTGCCGGGCTCTCCGAGAGGGGCGGAGGAATCGAACTCGGGTCGGCCATGTTGGCTGCGTGCAAGGCAAACGCCCTACCGCTGTGCTATCGCTCCAGTTCAGTCTTTACTGGGACTTTATTTATTTATTTATTTATTTATTTATTTATTGGTGGCATAATGACACTTAGTAGAAGACCCCTCCTTCCGGGGCCCCCCTCGGCACCTGCCCCCGGGGTTACTGCCTCCTCCAGGAAGCCCGTCCTCCTGGCAGGGTGAGACCCCAGCCTCCACTGGGGCCCCG